GATTCCAGGGTGTGATTCCAAGGGGAGCTGCTCCCTTTTCCAGGCACCTGGGGCTGACAGGGGGTTTGATCCGGGATTCAGGGAACGCCCCCTGTGCGGTTCCTGGTGCTGTTCCTTCATCTCAGCGTTGCTCTGGTGGGAATCTCATCCTTAAAATCTTGTGGCCTGAGGCAGGGGTGTCATTCCTTCCCCCTGGGAATGTGGAGAGCGAGCAGACAGATGGAATTTCCAGCCTTTTGGGCACCTTTGTTCCCCTCCTGAGGCTCTTCCATCCCAATGCCTGTTCCCTTCTTCCTTAATCCTGCTCCGAGGGCAGGAAAGGTGAAGGAAAAAACCCTAAAACCTGGAAATATCCCGGTTTTTATTAGTCCTGCCCTGTGGCTCTTTACCTTTGTGTCCAAGCAGAGCCTGGAATTGGCTCCTTTCATCCCAGATTTCTTTGATTCCAAGTGGAGGTGAGAGAGGGAACCCCCTGGATCATTCCGGGGGTCTGGGCTGAGGAGGAGGGTCCCCACCCCGGTGCTGGAGGGTCTGGAATGTCCCATCCAACCTGGCAGAGATCCAGGATTCCAGGGCCCCAGAGATCCAGGATTCCAGGGGCCCAGAGATCCAGGATTCCAGGTCCTTAGAGATCCAGGATTCCAGGTGCCCAGAGATCCAGGATTCCAGGTGCCCAGAGAGTCAGGATTCCAGGTGCCCAGAGATCCAGGATTCCAGGTGCCCAAAGATCCAGGATTCCAGATCCTTAGAGATCCAGGATTCCAGGTGCCCAGAGATCCAGGATTCCAGGTCCTTAGAGATCCAGGATTCCAGGTCCTTAGAGATCCAGGATTCCAGGTGCCCAGAGATCCAGGATTCCAGGTCCTTAGAGATCCAGGATTCCAGGTGCCCAGAGATCCAGGAATCCAGATCCTTAGAGATCCAGGATTCCAGGTCCTTAGAGATCCTGGATTCCAGGTCCCCATATTTCCAGGTCCTTAGAGATCCAGGATTCCAGGTCCTTGGAGAACCAGGATTCCAGGTGCCCAGAGAGAGA